ATTGATGGAAACTAAAACATTGTGAGTCCATATTGCGCCCACCATAGCAATTTTCAAGCATAGCAGATGGATACTCTTGATTAGGGCAACTCTTGTTTTTTTCCTGGGGTCGTGCTCTGCACTTCTCCGTCGGCTTGCACCAACGCAGCAACCAATCTTGCAGGGTCAGGATTCTAGACCCCTTGCATTTGCAAGGCATATGAGAGTTTTCCTGTACACCAAGTTCTGGCGGTTGCGGGCCTATTGTAGACAGGGCTAGCGTCGAATCCGGAGCTACAAGTAGCTGTCCGCACAAATATGCTTGCGTATTCTGTGCTGCCTATCATGCACTGGCTTCATGGAAAGCCCGCAAAGTCTTGCAGTCGACCCGAAACAAAAAAAGGTCTGCTTGGGACGGCTCTGCGCCCAGGTTGTTCTCATGGGAACCATTTTCCTTGTTACCTTTGCTATACTTAATTACTGCTCACGCAAGAACTGCAGCCACTTCTATTGCTGCTACTACTATGGCTCATACTGCTTCCGACGCCGATGCCACTTACGCCACTTCAACCACTAGCTGCTACTGACGCCGCTTCAACCACTAATGATGCAACGCGTGGATCGGTTAATCGATCTTCACCGACTTTCTGAAATCACCATCGCTAAGAACATGACTATGACCGTCGTTGCTGCCACTTCAGTCACCTGTGAGACCCTTGACCCAAAACTAGGGTACGTTTGGGGTATCCTACAATTCTGCTTTCTAATTTCTAGGGCTGATACAAGGATCAAGGGTAATAAAAGTTGACAACCATCTTCGAGCACAACCGTGAGGCGCAACACCAATTCCAGCAGAGGCTCGCTGAGTGTTGCTCTATCTTGGCGGGCCACATGAAGGTGGCTGCCTAGCTGATCACGACCGGGTCCCTTCGTACATTTCTTTTTTGGAGATTGTCACCTGGTCTTATTGAACGAACTCAGGAAAACATAAAAGGTCTAGGTACTACTGCCTTCACGAGGAAGATTGATGGCATTGATATTTGTGGCGCTATGATCGTGTGATGAATTTTGCTGCTGATGTGTCTCCATAAGGCCAGCATACTGTGGTAGTGGGCATGTATATTCATCTATCCTATGGTTTTGGAGATTCCTGGGCTCTTTAGCTCCCCTTATTATACTGATATAGACTATCCCTAGCTCCTTAGCTCCCCCCAAAGGTATGTATATTCATGATGAAGGCTGAGACTACAACAACCCAGGTGGTCAGATTGGCATTGCGGGATCCTCACTGTTGAGCCCTTTGTTTCTCTGAGCATCGTGTTTAGGGTTTAGGGTTTAGATGGAGAATCAAATGGAAAAGAAAATGGAAAATGAAATGGAAACTGGGATTATAGGGTTTATAGTGCTAAAATTATTCTCCATCTACTGCTACCATTCGTCATGTGCCCCTCATGGCTACCAATAGAGCGCGGCAAGCAGAATCAAAAGAACTGAATTCTGAAGGGGCTCGTGGCAACAACAACCTTCACCCCAGAAATCCTACTTGGAGGGTCAGGGGGACTGAGTAAGCAGGGTAATGGCAGAAGTAACTGGGGCTCTCATGTGACATATACTCATCATCTCAATAAACATGCTAAGTCCCCTGACCCTTCAAGCACCCTACGTGGCCTACGCAGCTTAGGCCTCAAGACCTAATTTTTACGCCTTCGATCCCTTCGGACATGGCCTCACGATTGGAGCCCGCCACCTGGCACACTTGGAGGATCAAGGGGGTTTCGTAATAGTCGAAAATCTATGGAAAAACTAGTTAACAATGGAAATAAGATGGAAGCTACTAGTTGATGATGGAAAACGAAATGGAAACTACTACAAGTAGTTGCTTTGGTTTTGGGCTGAGGGTTTCCTTAGCGTTGAAAGTAGACTCAGTAAGTGACTTGATGATGCCAATAGCCAGTGTTCTTACATGGTTTAAAGGGTAATAAGTATACTTGCTAAGTCCCCTGACCCTCCAAGTGTTCAATGATCCCCCCAGTTTCAGATGTGAGACCGGTGAGACCCTACATGTACGCTCCGATGCCGGTTTCTCCAGTAATATTGCGGTGTACTCTAACATACTAGGAATAATTGATATAAGGAGGGGGGGGTCTTGCGTTAGAGGGGAGTTTAAGGGACCATAAACATTCAAGGCCCGTGCCCTTTGTAGAAATGATGAGGCTGCTTCCAACTTCCAGCTTGGATCTTGTGGAGAAGCACTTGGATGCTAAGGTTGATACTTAACCCTTTCCCCTAACGCTAACCTCCTCCACACCCCCAAATAACAAGTGTTGCCGCTAATTTAATGGTACTACACTGGCAATGGTTGCTTTTCAGTGCCGGGGGGGGGTCATTATTAGGGGCGGGTGATTGCTTGCTTCCAGGTCGGTTGCTGGCTCAGGGTCCTGTCTTCAGGTACTGCTAAGCCCAAAAGAAAGCTCGGCTCGGCCCAAAGTCTGAGGTTGAACAAACACCTGCCCCTAGCCTCTGAGTCAACTCTCGCTCTTTGATTCAGCTTCCTTGTCCAGAGAACATTATCCAAACCCTCGCTGTGTTTCATGGCCAGACCTGGGAAGTTCTGACACTTGAAGGAATCATCCCATCGTGCACTGGATGGCGGTCCCCTCACAAGAAGTTGCTAAAGCCAGGACACGGCATATAAAAAATGCTTGGGAGCCCACGCACCTGCATTCAGGCGCAATGGGCTCAGGGTCGTTCTACATCAGCCTACCCTATGCAAAGCTCTGCGGGCCATTCACTTGTACTTGTGGTGCACACCGCCCTGGCTTCCGGACTGGATCTTCTGCCCGCTGGAGCTTGTGGAGTGGTAGTGCCCTCCGCCGCTTGGTCCGTCTGAGTGGTGGATAGGCTTCCCTTGGCCGGCACGCTGGGCAGCTTCGCGAGCGGCCTTCTTGGAGCTGTGGTTGACGGTATGGATCATGGCCTTACCACTGGGCCCTGCGCCACGGGTGCTCTGCTTCGCGATTGTCTTCACCACTTGCTTGGCCACGGGAGCCACAACCACTCGCGCGATGATACCCCAGACCATGCTGCACTGGGCTGATACTATCGGTCGCGGAAGGTGCGGCAAGCGCTAAATTGATCACTTGAGCCGCGAAAGACAACATGCCATCCAGGTACACCCAAGCATTCGGCCTGTCGGCGTTTCGGAACTCATAGTGACTGCATGCACTTAGGGCCGGGAGAGAAAAATTCGATCAATTGCGAAGGCAAGAGCCGTGGCTAAATGTGGCTAAAGTAATTGACATGCAAGTCGGACGAAGTCGGGGGATGATTGTCTAAGCAGGCAGGAAAATGTTGATTGGCAGTTGCTGCTTCATCAAGAGACAACCTTCGTGTAATTCCAAGCTCGAAAGGGCTTTTGAATCCTTGCTGCGCCGCACCTCCGGCGCATGCTCAGTGATGTTCTTGGCGAAGGACTCCTGTCGCAAGCACACTGGCATGATGAGCTGCTGCTCGTTAACGGGTGCCTCCGTTGCGCTCATCCTCTCAGCATGCTCTGCCAGCTACTTTACTTTTGCTGCTGACCTTCACCCGCAACTCTGTCAGTACTATTGCTACCTTGCCACCTTTGTCACAAGAAAGCAGCAGCGGCTGTGGAGAGGCAGTCGCGGCGGCTGCAGTGGCAGGGGCAAAGGCAGCACATAGCTCCACCACCATCACCAGCATCACCAGCAAGAGCGCCTGCAGCAGCAGCAACAGCGGCGGCAGCGGCAGCGGCAGCAGCACCAGCACTGGCACCGGCAACAACAGCAGCAACAGCGGGGGAACAATTGCGGGCCGATTTTGGAAGCCCGTCTGCACAGTTTACAGGGTGTCTGAACCTCTGACAACGACAGCAACAACCACAACCACAGCAACATCCGCCGCCGCTGCCGCCGACACCAGCAACACCACCGCCGCCGCCGCCGCCACCACCACCACCACCACCATCACCACCACAACGCCACCACCACTGCCACCACGCCACCGCCGCCACCGCCGCCGCCGCTGCCACTGCCGCCGTCACCATCGCACAACGACCAACACACAACGACGAACACACAACGACCACCACCACAACCACCACCACAACCACCACGACAACAACCACAAGCACGCCACAACGACCTCCACGACGACGCACGTCGACGACAACGAAGACAGCGACGACGACAACGACGACTTAATTTCTTGTCCAAGTGATTTTCCATTATTGAGTTAATTTTCCCAAAATCAGCTGTCTGTAGCCACATCCATGTGGACCGGATATGAAGTCCTCAGCCAGTAAGAGTTGGACAATATGTGCGATAAAGCTCTGATATAGCTATGAAGCCCTTAATATGACCCCTGGCCCTGGGTGCTAGCTCCTGTATCTGCGACAGTGCCTGTGCGGCCAGCCTTGTTTCCAGAGTGCACAGGGGGTTGACTTGCAGTGGACGCTGGGTTCCCTCCACTTCTATTAAACACCTGTTGGGATAAGGGTTTAGGGCTGCCCATACCAGGCCTTCCAACATTCCCGCAAAGAACACTTTCTATTTGGAGAGGAGCGATTTTCTGCTGGACGCCTAAGTGCAAAGTAACATGAAGCACTGCAGAAAAGCAGTCTGAGAAAGGCTGATCTCCAGCCAGGAAATGGCCATCACAAGTCGGAGCAACAGATATTTGAGAAGTAGTTAAGTACGGTCTACACATTTTTGTTCGAGTAGGGCGTTGGGGCCAAGTTCGAGGTATAGTGTCCCTGATATCTCCAGTACAGCATCCAAGAGGGGTCCATCCTGGGCGCTTTAGACACCCTGCGCCTGTTGGAACACTCTCTCGAACCAACTAAGGAACACACAGAGTAACTTTCGGAGATTGAGGCCTACTGAGGCTCCAAATAGGGCTAGTATAGTTTTCACAAATTTGTAGAAAACATACTTTGTGCCAAATCTAGAAGCATATGTGATCCATTAGGCGAAGCTCGTTCGAAGATCTGAGCCAGGTGCTCAATTGAACTGACTGACGGAACTGGCTTCACAGACAACGACCTCGGGGCAGTGACAATCCAGGGCATTGGGGTGCTGAAGATGGTAGGGGTCAGATTTGACCAGAGGGCTGTGGGTTAGGATAGTCTACACCCTTAACAAAGATTTTGATGGGTTGGGTTCGGATCAAGATATCTTTACGTTGGATGTATGCCTTGGGGTTCAGGCTACATTTCCGTCGCATGGTTTCGAGGTGCGCTTTGAGGTATGCTGCAGAGGATGTAGGAGGACTTCTGCCTCTGCTTTGAGGGGTGTTGGTACGCTTTGTGGGTACCACTCAGGGTACCGTACGGTTTGCAACAGGTCCAAACCTGAACCCGTCTCACAACTCCTCGACACCTCCGTGGTGGAGCATCCAGTGTCAGCTGTTGGACGTGAAGGGCGGCACTGAAACTACATCTGTTCGCTGTCAAAAAAGACCTGCGAGCCCTAAAACCCTGAAGCCGGACATACCAGAACCATAGGCCCTAAACTTACTGGTTCGCAGTAGGGAATATAATGGAATATACCTCTATAATCCCAACATACCATATTCCCTTATCCCTACAAAAAACAGCAAGTAAAACTGAAGCCCTCAACACCCTTCAGTCCTGACCCCATCCTGCCTTCCGAAATGAAACATCTGCTCTGCTTGGATCATACAGTTCCCCCTAAACTCTAAACCCTGAACCCTAAACCCTATAAACCTAAAGCCCGGACCCTACACCCCACAGCTCTAAACTTACTATCTGCTCCCCTCCACAATCCTGACAAGCCCTGACTTCCTAGTGGGCCCAAGATCCCCTTAAACAGGGAATATGTACCTTCAACCCTAAGTCCTAAACCCTAAATTCTAAGCCCTAAACCCTAAATTCTAAGCCCTAAACCCCAGACTTTAAACCCTAAACCCGAAGCTCCAAACCCTATACCCCCAGATGCTTTACCATCTGGGTTCCTGGGCACCCAGCCAGGCCAAGGAGCCCAAGGCACCCACGCAAAGCGGGGCCGAAGCACTGGGCTCATCCTAAAGCTGTTTAGGGGGGGCTATATAGGGGTTATATTGTGGTCATATTGGGAATAATGGAAAAGAAAATGGAAACGACTATAATTGGTTATGTAGGGCTTCGGGGTTTGGGGTTCAGGATTTAAGGGTTTGGGGTTTGGGATTTAAGGGTGAGGGGTTTGTGGCTTAGGATTTGGGGCTTGGGGGTTTGGGGTTTAGGGCGTAGGATGGCAACACAGAGTAAGAGTCTAAATTACAGAACGGATACTGTTGGCTTGCCAATTCCGAGTCAATTCAAGTTGCAATACCCAGAGGTGCGTGCTTGTTGATATTGCGGTTCTTACAGCTCTCACCGAATCACTTCTCCTCCCCCTGTTAGCTCTCCGCCCTGCAACAAACATGTTCTGGCCAGGGCCTCAATTTTGGGCATTGCCGACAACAGAAACCTGTTTATCAGTCAAGACGAAGTTTTGAATGTTGTGAACCAAGGATGATTTTCACCAGAGCCTGATATAAACCATGGCTTCAGCTTAACTAAGGCCAAATACATGATCCACTGTCAGATACGCAAGTGTACGGTCGTCTGCAGTAGCGCAGCCTAACTTCCGACTAGGCACGCAAAGAACCAACCAGAACTTAACCGCTCGTTCCCCAACACATAACCATGTAACCCCCTCGTCGGAGTAAGCAGATTTAAGAAACTCTTGAATGCACTGTCAAAGCAAGCTTCCTCAAGAAACGCTCTTCGTAAAGGAGTGAATGTGCAGATTTGGAAAATCAGTAGACGCCAAAGGTCTCCTCAAAATATCTGCAGTCGCACTATGCTCCCAGACAAAACCACGCCGATTCAGAAACGGCGATGCATCTTGCAAGCCCCATTGGTAGTTCTCCAAAGTATGGGCCCCTTTTGGTTATGGATTGTATTCCGGCCTAATATTTGAGGGGTACCAAAGAGGGACTGAATTTTTTTGGAAGCTACCCTCATCCGCCTATTGTTAGGGGAACTATCGAGTCTGTCCTCCGGGAGTGAAGCGGCGGTATCCAGCCAAAACACTGGCCTCTTTCAGGGGTTTAGGGTTTATGGTTTAGGGGTTTAGGGTTTAGGGTTTGGGGTTTAGCGAGGGGCTCGGGGGTACCCATTTAGTTGTGATTGTTGTATGTTCATGTCTTGTTGCACCGATCGGGGTAAGAAAACACTGGCCCTAAGCCCTTCCGGGACAACAAGCAAACTCTTGAGAAGGTTGCAATCGTCAAAGACATCCTTGTCTGGCTTGTTGTTTCTGAAGCTTAGACTCACTCACGGTTATAAAGAAACCTCGTTATGTTTGACACATATGGGTGGTTGTCAAAATTATGATCCCTTTTTGGGTACCCTAAATATTAGGTATGATAATAGGGAACCAAAAAGGGACCATCATTTTGACAACCACCCGCATAGCAACCCAAGATCCTGGTTGTGGAAACTCCCCATGAACCCGTAACACCCTGTTTACCGAGGCTCACACTTGCTCCAAAACAAGCGCGAGTTTGAACGCAAAGCCGACCGAGAAGGATGTTCAGGGTTTAGGGCTTTAGGGCTTTAGGGTCCCTAGGGTTGTCGTTCAGGGTACAAGGGTTTAGGGTTTGTCGACGGAAAAGGCGCTCCGCGACCTAGAGGGTCGCGGGGCGGCGTCGAGCTGACGCGACTTCCCATCCCAAGACCACCCAAACATGGAATGCGAGAGTTTGGTGTGTGCTAAGGTTTGACAACTTTGGCAGCTTACATTTTAGGGGACGTTGCGGGAGAATTTGTCCCTTTCGGGCCATGATGTCTGGAGAACGGTGATTTGGATGAGCGCGGGGCAAGCCAAAACATGTTGCATTTGGGCTCAAAACAAGCAATTTCTAGTTAGGATCCGGCCGGGCTTCGATACGCTGGCGATGTCGTGGTGCTCCCACGCTTTTCGTCAGGTAGCGCCAGCTTTTACTTTGAGGGTTTTAGGTTTCATGCTTTAGAACTTCAGGGAGTAGGGCCTTCAGGAATAAGGTTTACGGATTTGGGATTTCAGATCACTTTCACAGACGGATCTCCCAAACCTGAAGCCCACTCTGACTCCACCCAAGCCACCCTCGCCGGAGGTCTTCCAGCGACTCGCCCCTCACAGCCTGAACGGGTGTTGAGACTAAAAAACTCTTTGCGACATGCTTCAAGAAAGTGCCTCATCACAGGGCCCAGCTACAAAGGTCAAATCACAGTGGTCCTGCTAAGGAGAATAAGACAGTGAAATCATAGTGGCACCGGCAAAGCAATGGAAGTTGCCCTGCTAGTCACAACTCTGTTTCAAGATATCATGTGAACCACGGTGTACCTCCTCCTCCTCCTCCTCCTCCTCCTCCTCCTGTCGCTCCTCCTTCTCCTTGCCACTTGAATCAGCGCGATAGAAGGTGTTACCTGTGGTTCGCACAAGAAATCCAGGGCTCATGAACAGGAATACTTCTGTGGAAGAGCAGCATTGCGGGCACACCTTGAAGACTGCAATGCAGGAGTCTGGCATTGCCCATTTCTGAATTTAAGTAAAATAGGGTATATATTAGGGTTATGTATAGGGCATATAGGGTTATATACATTAGTTCCTCTGAACCTTGCAGGTTACTGACAAGCAGAAGGCTGACTCCCCGCCCCTTGACAATAAACCTCCCCAACACCCTTAGAACAAATACGCCGAATATAGTAAGCTTTTTTTCTGTACCTACAATATTTATTACAAGAATCACTACTGTCATCATGGTTGGTATTCCTATGTGGGCGTTGCCCACTATCACCTTCATAACAAAATGACCTCTTCGCGGAAATCGAAAGTTCCTTTCGCGCGCACACCATCGCGAGCTTTCGCGGAAGCATGTTTGAAGCAAAAACCAAGCCCTGAACTCTCAAAAGAACTCTTGACCCATAC